ATATATATATATATGTCTTTGTGTGTGTGTGTGTAAAGGCAAATCTTAACTAGAACTTACGATAAATTTTATATATTCTAATTCAAAGTGTATTATATAATAGAATTTAATGGAAAGACCGTCTCCGAATCATATATATATATATATATATATATATATATATCTGATATTTATCTACAAATCTAGTAAAGATTTGTTTTAACAAACACATGCGAATCTGAGGGCAAAAGCCCTACGTCATTACTTTCAAAAATAATCTTCTCTAGTTTAGCCAGAATTTGATGCCTTCCGTGGCCGACTTCTATATCCAGTTAGATTCTAAACGTATCTGGAAATGGTAAGGGCCCTCAACAGAAGGCTAGCGACCTGCTATCATCTGGGCCCTGGGTGGAGGCACAACCAATGCCCTCCATTCGCATAAAAATGTGTGCGTCTTTGTATGTGTTTTTCCTGTGCACCAGACAGTGGCCTAAACTTGTAGGCATGGGAGGGTAAAATTAAAAAAGGATTAGCGGCAACTGGCATGTGCACGAAGGAAAAGTTCCTATTGCCGTTTCATTCGGCCTTAAACAGATGGTCTTTGGGACACTGGATTAAGACGGGGGGATGAAGAGAAGAAGATACCTTTAGTTCTGAGAAGGTTGTGTATAGGTGGATGCGACTTTGGATGGATTTACGTAACTTTTTTGTGAAAAAGCCCAAGATGCAGAAGTATACGTTCATGTTTTTGGCCGTCCCTCCGACAAGGTGTGTAGAAAAGAACTTGTGAATAGCCGGTTAGAAAGACATGTTGTAGGATTGACTGACGTGTTGCAAAGTAGAAAGAAAACATGAAAAGAGGTGTCAAATGCAGCGTCAAGCGTTGGATGAGACGAGGCTGCAGAGAGCTGAAAGTATCCACCAAAAGGAGAACAAGATCAGCAAAGGGTTAGAAATAGAGCGAAAGTTTCTGGTTATGGGTGAAAGAAGTAGAAAAGAAGAAGACAAACGAGCTGGTGAGAGCTGAATTCGTTTTGCCATTTTACAAGTTTGAGTGAAACATTAGACGCAACCTTGCAGGGCAGCCGGCAGTGACTGTGTGCAATTGCTAAACGGCTT